TTGTTATAGTGAGGGAAATGACCAAAAACAGAATAATTCAGGTTGTTTTCCCAAACATTTTCCTTTTCATGGCAATTTACTTGTACATAATGGACTCAAAATGATGATGATGCTGGTGTTCAGTACTTACTGCCAAATCCTTTAGGCTTAAAAAAAAGTCTTAATCATTTTTCTTTTATCCTCCCTCCATCTCTCTCTCTCTCTCTCTCTCTCTCTCTCTCTCTCGTCTCTCTCTCGTCTCTCTCTCTCTCTCTCTCTGTCTCTCTGTATTTTCTAGATGCCAGGCCCTTTGTCCAGTCCTGTGTGTCTGACAGTCATCTGGTTTTTATCTTGGTCACTTCGTCCCAGTCGTGCTCAGATTCGGACCGATGAAGGTAACACTGGAACATGTATGCATGCACACCATGCAGAAAAAGGTACATGTTTAAAATGCACACATAGAAACACACATTCTGTTAAGGATCACAGTGAACTATTTTGGGCACTCTTGGCTCAAAGTATTTATGGGATACTACTACTGCAGAAGAAAAGAGGGAGGAAACGTCCAAAATTTAGATTTAAAAACTGGTTTAAGCCAAATTATGATCAGAGAACTTATTTTCTTGTTGAAACACATCATTGTTCATTTTTATGGTTCTCTGTGTGTCCACTTTTGAATGTGCAACTTCAGTTTTTTTTTTTTTAATAGTAGAATTGGAATTCATGTTTTTTGGGATTAGCACTCCGCAAACAAGAATTCTATTGTTTAAGCATATTTGTTTTGCCTCACACAGCACTGCAGGGATCTGTCTGGCATTAAGAAGTTGACTCTTATTTCTTCCCTTGAAAAACTGTTCTTCCCTCTATTTTGCTCTCTTTCTACCTCTCTTTATCACTGTAGCTCTTTCTAAAATCGACCAAATTAATCACTCCAACAATAGGAGCACTCACCCATAGCCATTCAGGTGAAACTGTCGAGTTTTCCCCTTCCATTAATTTTACCCTACAGCAGCTCCAGCGTCCTTTTTTCATTGTTTGGAAAGTACTAAGTTTCCTCCAGCTTGCAATTTCTGTGTCCACTCTGCCATCTGATTTCAATGTCAGGAGAAACTTGCTGCCTTCCTGTGTGCATTAATGTGTGTGATACGTGTACTTAAATGCATGTTTGTGTGTTCATATGTGTGTGGTTTTGTGTGTGTGTGTGTGTGTGTATATGCACGTGCATGTGTCTGGGACCTCTTGCCAAAGGCAGAATCAGATATGAGTGGAACGCTGCGGGTTTGGGGAATAATGTACTTCACTGCCAATAAAACATGAATACACACATTCAGACCAGCCAAATCTTTGCACTGCACCAAGGCCCCAGGTAACACACACACACAGAAACAGAGGGAGGGGAGTGTGTGTGTGTGTGTGTGTGTGTGTGTGTGTGTGTGTGTGTTTAGTGGTTAAGGAG